AACATTATGGTAGAAACAAGAAACGACATTGCATTACAGTTTATTGTCCTCCAGAACGAACCGATACAACAACATAATGGAGATCTGGTAAAAATAACAGAACAAAAACTCTTGGAAGCGCAGACAATGTGAAGAAAACAATTGTTGTAGTCAGTCAACTCAAGGATGACAGTCCAATTTGCAGTGGATCCCTTCTAAACATCCAAAAACAGCTTTAGGATCTGCTGCGTCTTCTGCGGGGAGAACGCGAACGGCTGCGATTGAAACGACTCGATCCGAGAGGAATCATGTTTGCATTTGCACCGCGGCCAGGCGGCGAACGTCTTCTTCCAGGACTGAAATGATAATGGATAGAATTTCTCTTTGAAACTGGAAATATATACCGATAGATATGGAATACCTTCGTCTCACTGGACTCTTGCGAGCAGGAGAACGACGACTTGTTGCACGATTGAGAGTCAATTCAACGCTGACGACTTGTCCATCAATTTGACCTCCATCAAAGTATTTCAAAGCCTGAGGAGAAACTCAGGCAAAATCGATTCGTTTTAGGTTTATCATACTCATCTAACGGAATAAATTCTGGTAAAAATCTTACTCAATGAATGCTAATTCAGAAAACTGATAGGTTTAGAAAAGCCGACAACTTACCTTCTCTGCATCTTCTGCGTTTTCGTACTCGACGTATCCATAACCACGATGCAGATGAGTGTAGAACCTCTCCGGAGGAAGATCACAGCTTTTTATAGGACCATACATACCGAAGATCTCCGCAAGATGTTCCTAAAACTTTCTACTGGATGGAAAACTCAAACTTTTACGAAGAACTCACCTTGGTAACATTTCGACTGAGATTACGAATGGAAATACGTTTCGAAGGACTGGCTTTGCGGGGAGAGCTACGGCGAGGAGACCTAAAGAAAATATTTTACCGATTCTAGGCAGAAAGAAGCAAAAATAAGTACCTCTTAGGTGACCTTCGCGGAGATGCACGTCGTGGAGAACGACGAGGGGAACGACGACGACCACGGCTAGTGCTGCGATCAGTTCGACGCTTGGGAGAGGGAGAAACTCGACGACGACGAGGGGATGGTGAACGACGACTTGGGCGATCACCTCCTCCTCGATCAGCTCTGGCTCTACCCGGTGAACGACGTGGCGAACGAGA